AAAGACATTCAGCTTGAATGCTCCTTAGAAATGAGCACGGTAAAACTTCCTCTCAATACTTATTTGTTTGTTTTTCTGGCAACACAAACGGTATAATCAGTATTCTTGGCCAACACCGCAGATTAAAGGCATTGATTCCTTTTTCTTCTTGGTTCAATGCCCAGCTTTCCCACGCACAGGAAGTGATTGAAAAGAATGGGACTTGGGTCAGGACCACCTTGCTCATCAAAGCGATATCATCATGCCCATGGCAATGTCATGGTTTGGGCATCATCCTACAGAGAAGTCAACAATAACAATTGCAGGAAAGTGGGTACACAGTGCCTCCATACTGCTTTGTTTTGTTTTGCTGTCGTCTATGGACCCATCATTTCTTCCAAAGAACGTTAAAAAAAAAATGTCTGTCCGGAATTGCTCCAGCTTCCATCATTGCAGTGTAGGAGACTCACCCTCTGTACCTCTGGTGATCCAATTTGAGTTCTGGCAAAGCATTGGTTTTTAATTTAAATATAGAAAACGATACATCTTTCTTCCCAACAGTACCCAGTCCTAGGCCAATTGACTTCATACCAATATGAATCCAAAGTATAAATGGCAGTTAAGGGGGTCACAGACATGGGTTCCTAAACAAGGGGAAAATAGTCTTTTTTATTCTGAAATATTCTCAGTTGATTAACCTGGGACAGGCGGATTAAATGTGGGGCTAGATACTTCCTACCAGAAGCAGCAAGGACACGAGTGTATGATGAAAACCCTCTGCGGGCCCGAGAGACAGGGCAAATCAGAGCCAGCTCCTGGCTTGGATGTCTGTGATATGATATCCAGGATAAGTCAATCTCCTGAAAAGCAGGAAAACCAGGGATCATTCATTCAGATGAATCTGTGTTGCACTTCTTGCTTTTGTATATGGACTTACCGAAATCCGTCACATGCCTCTCTATATTACACTACATGCCAAAGCGGACCTTCTTCCCTCTGTGCCAACACATCGCACTAACCCACTCCTTCCGTCATCTCTCTCATAGGACTACTTACTGCGATTGCCTTCCAGCAGGGTCTTCACTCTCCACGCATTCCTATACACTCTCTTTTCTATATGGGACAAACACAAAATTAGGTGAAATCGCAGCCACCCTCCGGTGGCTTTCCTAAGCCATTTATTACAATCAAATCCACTCTCTTAACCATGACCTTCAAGGCCTTCTTGATCTGGCCCCTGCCATCTCTTCAGCCTGGTCCTTTACCGCTTGTCCCTTTAGACATCATGATCCAGTCACTGAGGTCATCTCTTGGGTAATGCCAGACCCTCCAGGCTTTCTCCTGCCTTTTTTTTTTTTTAATAAATCACTTTATTGGGGCTCTTACAGCTCTTATAATAATCTGTACATCAATTATATCAAGCCCATTTGTACAAGTAGCCATGCATGATTCATTGTTCCTGCTGTGGATCATAAGGTTGGCAGTTCAAACCCACTTGTAGCTCTTCGGGAAAGGCCCAACCATTTGCTCCTGTAAAGACCACAGCCTAAAAACCACCTGATGCAACAGGTCTCCTGTGTCGCGAAGAGTCAGTACAAGTTGACAGTGAGCTGAAAGCTCCTAACAAGGCTTTTCACCCGCTGCTCTTGGCCTGAGTTGCTCTTCCAGATCTTAGTTGCGTAGCTCAATCCTCCAAGTCTTTCTAGTCTCTGCTTCCTGGTCACTTCCTCAGTGAGGTCTTCCTAACGGCATTGCCCCTCCCATCCTTCCACGTCCCGCTCATTCCCTTGCTTGTTTTCTGTTGCTTCGCAGGATTATACGTTCTGAAATTAGATCATTCTGTGTGAATTCATATGCTCACTTTTTCATTCTCTCTAGACCACATGGTGTATGAGAACAGATATGCTGCTGTCTCCTTCACAGCGGCATCCCCACTGCCTAGACCAGCGCCTAGGTACCCAACCGAACCAATAAGCCAAACTCACTGCTTCATGTCATAGTGTCCCCTGTAGGACAGTGTTGAACTCTCCCTATGACTTCCCAAGACCGTAACTCTTTTCAGAAGTATAACACTGTGTCTGTCTACCACAGAGCTACTAGTGGTCTCAAACTGTTGACCTTGCAGATCGCAGCCCAACATCTAACTCCTACACCACAGGGGCTCCTAGGTATCCAAGGAGCACTAAGTAAATGTTTGGGGATGGATGAATGAATGATGGCATCATTAAGTTAAACCATGTGAAATGGGCAAGATTATAAAGAAAGGACAAGAAATTGGTTCATCTTTGTGACCCACATCTTGTTGACACAAGATCAGACAGAGAACTTTCTAACCCTTCCCTTTTCACTTACTTCTCTAGGCAACTTGAGATCCACTCTCCAGATGCTAAGCACACGGTGATCCTAAGAAGTAAGGATTCAGCCACCGCCCAGGCCTGGTTCAGTGCCATCCATTCTAACGTCAGTGACCTGCTGACCCAAGTGGTTGCTGAAGTCAGACAGCAGCTGGTGAAAACAGGCATTGCTGGGAGCCGAGAGATCAGGCATCTTGGCTGGCTTGCCGAAAAGGTAAGGAAAATCCCTTCCAGTCCCAGTTTATCCCCAGGGGTCTTCCAGCTCGGGTTGCAGCTACTGAAGTCATTTGCCTCATTGCTTAGGCTTTTGTCTTTCATCTCCAACAGACCACATGCAATTGTACTACAATAGGACCAGTGTCTTAATCAATTTAGTCCCACCTCCTGTGGCCAAAGAGAGGTGGTCAGCTGTTGCTTGTGGAATGGATGAGAGTCAGAGGGAGAGGGAGAGGAGGTGGATTCTTATATCTCCGATGCACGGCAGGGAAAAGAATTCAAGCAACTCACCTGTTGCCTTGGGAACCGAGGAAGCTGAAATCATTCCTTAAAAGCAAGCTGAGTCAAAAAAAATAAATAAATAAATAAAAAGCAAGCTGAGTCTGTGTGGGTTTTGAAAGGACCCCTGGTGGTGCGATGGGTTAAGCATCTGGGGTGCAAACCACAAGACCATTTCTTTGAACCCACCCGCTGCTCCATGGGACAAAGATTTGGCCATCTGCTCCCACGCCGATGTCCAGCGTGGGAAACTCTGAGGAGCAGTCCCACTCTGTCCTCTAGGGGCCTTCGGACTCGGGATCGACTCAAAGGCAGTGAGTTGAGTGGTGAATATCATTACGTGAGGGATGATTGGATTTCCAGAGTGGAAAGGAGTGCATGAAGAGGAACAAGGACTAATCTGTGCCCTCGGGAGGACCATTGCCGGAGTCCTATTAGCCCGCTCATTCTGACTTCTCTTCCTGAGTGATGTGGCAGGTTAGTGAGGGTAGACTCACATGGCAGCCAGCGCCTGGGAGTCAGGCCTTCTCTTCACTTCAAAGAGTTGAGCCTTTGCCATTGCCTTTACACCTGATCGCTGTTCCTTGAACTTGACCTTGTGTACTCAGCAACACTGAGCTTTGGGGGCAGCCTGACCTCGCAGTGACTCCCATTTTAATAGATGGTAAGTGGGAATAATGAGCATTGCAGTAATGGCCTTCTTGCCAATGGACCATGTCATCTGAGAAGACCTCGTCAACGGCACCTGAAAATATCACTTGAGTCCATCTGTTCTTCACCATTGTTCTTTATTTGCATGGTTCAGACATGGGTCTCAGCCACAGAGGTCAACACTGAATGGGTTGTTGGCTGGCTTTTGTCCCACCTGTCAAAGATTTGAAAGGACTAAAAGGACAGTGTAGGACCAAAGTCAACGTACAGTAAGTCACAGCTTGCCCGTTGGCTTTCTGTGTCTGTATTCTTAGCAAAAACAGACCTCAATCTTGGTGATTGAGAGAACTTTGTGAATTTGTTCCACAGCCTAACACACCATGGAACAGTAGCACGAGCACATAAAGGTTTTAATTTGGGAATATCATTGCCACTTGGTGAAATTTCACCTAACCATTATGGAAGCCTACTTAAGTTGGGTTGTGCATCGTATCCTGAAGGGTGATAAAGACTTATTGTGGACAATTATTGGGAGGAATGACGTCTTTTATTGTCTTCATGTTCAAAAAGTCCCCAAAGATTATCATAGATGAAGTCCAAGGGAACAAATCCAAACTGGATTTAAAAACAAACAAACAAACAAAAAAAAACACATTTAATACCGAGCCCTCGTGAGGAGACCTATGAATGATTTTTGGCAAAATGTTACAATGAATGACAAATCCTCAATACACTGCTTTTCTCATAACGTCACAAGTACCAGTGAATTCCCTTGGTATTTGGAAAGCTACCAAATCTGATCCCATACCTATTCGGCTGTGATTTACCTTCAATGGAGGTCTGTTGCCTTTTCCTAAGCGTTGACTTTGTGAGTTAGCCACAGTTGCTCTCTGGGACACGATTATACGGATTCGGTTTCACTTCAACCAGCACGGGAGCGATCCATCCAGATTACGGGAAGAGAGGAGAGGTCTTTCTTGGGGGGAACAAAGAAACACAGAGATGCTGCTGACAGGCATGAGGAGGGTGCATGACAAAAAGTTACTCGATTAAAAAATAAACAAACTACACCAAACTCACCGGCCTCATATTTCTTCCCAGAACCAGCGGGTGGGTTTAAACTGGGGCCCCCTTAGCAGCTCAGCTCATCCCACCATGAGGGCTCCTTCAGAACTATACAGGAGCAGATGGCTACTCTTCCTCCTGTGGAGTTTTGGGCCTTGGGGTTAGGGGCGCAGCACTTGCCCAAGAGAACCATCAGGGCCGCTAAAAGTTACAAAAAGGGCTGTTGAATTCTACTGCTGCTTCACGTGACCATTTCTATTTCCTATCCTCCTGGGACATTGCGACGGAAGGCATCCTTCTTGGATCGGGCCGCACAAACGCTCGTGAGAAGCATCTTTTGACAAGCCGTTCCACACCCGAATTGATAGTGTCACCCTTCTTCCTTCGGGTGGCGAGCAGCTCAACTCCTGCAAGACGCTGAATCGTCTCTTCGGAGCGGACTCAGTGATGCGAGGTCATGATGCGGCCTTGAGATCCAAAATGGAATTTCATTTCCATCGGGGACAGCCTTGTGAGTCACACCAAGTGCCTTGCTTTGGGGGCTCGCTTACTCGAGCGACACTGTGCAGCTAGATTAGGAGACTCAAGAGTGCACGTAAAGTAGCCTAGGCCATAGTAAAGCAGGTTGCTGCAAGTTAAGAACTTGACAGTGTAATTAATGGAAGGCTATTTCTGGAACCTCTAAATATATCACCCCCACCATCTGCCTGGGAAAATCACCTCAGTAGGAATTTCCCACTCCTTCTTCTAGGCAGAAAATCATCTCAGACCTGAGCGTGCTCCCATCTGATCAAAAATGGAAACCGTGCTGCCAGGCTACCCTGCTCGCCTCATCCTTAAATCAAGACTGTTTGCTCTGCCAGGAGACACAGACGGTTAATGCAATTAAGTGCTAATGGGCTTGTTGTGTTGCGTTCCAAGGCAGTCATCAAGTTCCCAAGCAAATCCGCTCGGGAGCAGAACAGAGGAAAAACTGGCAACGGCTTGGTTGCCTTCCTGTTAGCATCTAGCTGCAAGCGTTTAGACTAAATGTTCCTGTGGATGTCATTCAAATTGCCCCTGCCTTCCAGTCTCTGCGTGACCACAGAGAGCCTTTCCGTTGGAACGGGAGGGCGGGTGCCTGGCATAGGTGGCCGTGATGAAAGCTTGAAAATACGCCCATTTCCCTGGGGGTGTCAGAGTGCTGGTTAGGAATGTGAGCCAGTCTCACCCAGGTGGAAACGGAAGAGCTGCCGGTGTGAGAGAGAGGGAGCCGCGTACCCTATCGTCTGTGCTGGCTGAGCCACTGGAGAGAGAAAGTTCTCTGTGCCCGATGATGTAGATTCAGACTATGGGCCTCTTCTTTTATCTCATGGCAAATTGGAGATGTAGCTGTGTCCTCTTGAGTCCCTTTGGACCCATGGTGACTCCATATGACCCACTAGAACTGTCCCAATGAGTTTGTCACATACTCATTCACTCACTGCCCCTGAGTCAGAACTCATAGCAAGAGGACAAGGTAGAACTGTCCCTGTGAATTTCCTGAGACTGTAACTCTTTATTTAAGTAGAAAGCCTCATCTTTCTCCCTTGGAAGATCTAGTGGTTTCAAACTGCTGACCTTATGGTTTGCAGCCCAATTCGTAACCCATGACACCATCAGGGCTTTAAAGGCTGTAGTATTCATGGAAACAAATCAACAGAGCTTTCTCCTATGTAGCCCCTGGGTGGGTTGGAAGAGCAAACCGTCCAGTTAGCAGCAGTGAGCTTAACCATGCTACTACACGGGTCCTTCCGCTGGAGATAGATAGTCCTTGCTTTAGGAAACAGGAGACTTCAGACCTGGCTTTCGTAAAGAAAAAATGATTTCCCACGGAATTCCCTTGTTGATCATGTCTTAGGGGTCATTAGAACAGAGCCTGAGTTGGAGAGACTTAGGGAGGGGTGTACTGTGGAGGACTTGAGAGAAACATGTGAGGAAGTGTGAAGCAGGAGACGGGAGCAAGCAATGATTCAACCATTGACTGAAATTGAGCCTCAGCCAATCACACAGGAATCTCTAGAATCCCCAGGCCTCTTCTATCCTAATCCAATGGGCCAGGATTTCACATCCTCCATGTAAACCAACTGATGGATATGGATATAGACTACCGTGGAGGTCAAGAGAGATCATGTCTATGAGCCAAAAGCTGTTCTCTGGAGGTGAGAAAAGGGTCAAGGTGAGCCCAGTACAGCAGGAGAGGCGGTGTGCACTAACCCACTAGAGGGAATGTTTGCAAGAGACGGATAAGGCGTAACATAAACACTGATATGTCCTGGGAGGAGAAAATTCCGGCCGATCTACCTGGGGCTGTTAGGTGGGAAAAGATAAGAATAGGAGTGGTGCCCAGGTCTACGTCATGTTAAGAGTTTAGCCTTCCCTTGCTTTGGGATGCCGTTGAGTTCATTCCGATCCATAGGGACCCCATAGGAAAGAGTGGAGCGTCCCCCACAAGGTTTCATCTGAATGGAACCCCCCTCTCCCTGCATTAGTGGGTTCAAACTCCCAACCTTTCAGTTATCAGCAGAACGCTTCACCTTTTGCACCACGCGGGCTCCCTGTCGTATTCATCCAAGAGGTTGACTTTCATGGACCCTCGGCTTCTGCTGCTCACCCTGGCATTGAGTCACCCCTCACTCGCTCACACCACGGGAACAATAGGTAATGATGTAGAGTCCCTAAATGTCATTTTCAGAGTCCTTCTGCATCCTTACATTTTTGGTTTGTGCTCTTTATTGTTTCTAATAAGACGAGGCTGCGGTATTTTTTTTTAATGCAACGCCAACTAGATTATTTCATTTTCCACCCTGGGTCTGCATGATGCCCCGGCACTCTCCTGCCTTAAGTTAAGATTTTCAGGTTTTGAGAGCAGAAAAATGTTCTCCATTAAGTCAGTACATTTGAAATTCCGTATATGAGCTTTATTTAGAATTGGGGGACTGCAGTAGTGGTTTACCTTGACCTGTCCATTCTGATGGAAGTATA